CTCTAAATTCATTAAATCACTGCGGACATATTCGTCTTTAAGTTATTCCTTACAGACTTTTCCTTTAATAGTAAAATGAAAGCCACGAGAATAATCTGCTTTGTTCTAGTTTCTGGTAATAAAAAAAGAAAACCTCAAAAGATAGGTAATATGATATACAACCTGAGCATGTCTGTGTATTGATGTTGGCTTTTTGTTAACTATGTATATAAAAAGCTTAAGCTATGCAGTAATCGTCTTTATTTCCATTAAAAAGTGTTTGCTCAGAGCAGGTCAACCTAAAAGCAAGTGTCTGTCTCTGATACATTCTTATGGTTTAGGGTTAGCCTGTCTACTGCATATCTGATTATTCCTGACTGCTTTGTCTCTTTGTTTATCCCACTGTTGTGAATGACACCTTTACTTTTAAAAATATAAATAGCCGGAGCATCTCTGTCTAAATTAGAACAAAGCAGAGCAAGATACTGGTTCACTGTACTGCTGCCCGCTATTCCTATTCTTTCAGGAATCACGGATCCCTGTAGTTGATGAGGTCATTGATCAGCATGTTGTCATACCTCTTTACTTCACTTTAAGATTTTTCCAATTCTGCCCTTTTCTGTTGAATTTGTCTTCTGCGTTTGCAGGTTTTGAATTTTGCATAATTTTTCTGTCAAGTAGGTACAAACATAACAAGTATATGGCGATAGTGCAGAGGAAAAGCTTGTTTTTACCAGCTGCCCGCTGTTAAAAAATGATGCTTGAGAAGGTAAATAATCATTTTAATATTTGTTTCAGTTCAATCTATAGAAAACTTTTGTTGCTATAGCCATCCTGATAGCGATATATATAAAATTTGGACCATTATTCATTTTGCTGTTATGTCTGATACTGTACTAACATTAGGAATGTTAAATAGATTTCTGTACCCTTTTAACAGTGTACAAACTAGCATGCCCTTTACATTGTGACATTAAGCAAATAAAAAACATCCTGTCATCTTTTATCATAGTAGTGCTATCTAAGCTAAAAAAAAATAGGTGCAAATAAACTAAGCTAAGCTATGCTAACCTAAGCTAAGTTTTAAGGTTACTTTATTTATAAACATTTCAAACAAGCAAACTAAAAATCAATCGTAGGTAAACATACATGTGGATATAACAGACATGTTAAGGTACTAAACATCCTGGTTTAAAAAAAAATACAGTGAATGAGCTCTAATGCAGTATTTAGATGCTAAAATCAAACTAACTTAGACATTTACATGAAATATGATGAAATAGGAGTATCTATGCCAATCTGTATGATAAAACAAGCTAAATATGATTAAACTAGCCAAGGTAAGCTGAGCTAAGAGAGGCTCTATCTCTTCTATGTAAAATAATTATGTTGCAAGGTGGAATAGCAAACATTAAAGTCAATAAAAGTGAACTTAGATCAACTGAAAAAAGATTTAAAACAAACACTGAAGGAAATAATTAACTAAAATTAAGCTAGCTATTGCAGCCCCTAGAGGAGACCCTGTGTAACTGCAGGGTAAATGTAAATTAAAAGATTAATAAATAAGTTAAATTGAACAGTTAAAGTCCCGAAAATAACACTTTAACTGCAGTACTTTTGCCATTTAAAGGAAGTTATATTATATTTAATTGGAATGTTAACAATTACAAACTATAGGCAAGGAAAGATTGTGAACCACTGGGTTAAAGGTCAGATAAATGTTTGTCAATAATCAATCAAATTACTTCAAATGAGCTAAAATGATCTAACCTATGTAAAGTAAGATGTAATAAGTTAGTAGTAAACTAGGATATGAATGAAAAACAACCTGTGCAAAGATTAAACAAGCTAAGGTGAACTGAGCAAAGTATGATACCAGCTTTTTTTATCTTATAAAATAAAAATAGATACAGACACAAAAGATACATTAAAGTAAGCTAAACAAAGTTTAGTTAAAAAACCTGAAATTACTTTTAATTAAGTTTAATTATAAGATTACTGTTCAGTTAAGACAAGTAAGAATAAAAATGTATAAGATAACTTCAAAACTGAAAAAAGGCTAACTAAGCTAAGCTAAGTATAAGAAAGAAGATCATGTAAGCAATGTTAAAGTAAAACAAAAAAAATCAGATACACTAAATAAATGTAAGCATATATAACATTTCCTCTTAAGGCACGATGGAATAACCTATCAAATAAAACAAGCTATATAAGATAAGCTGAGATTTGCTGTGCTTAAAATAAACTAAGGTAAATTGAGCTAAAATATTGTATTATAACCTAAAATTAGGTGAAACTTGAATAAGTTAAATAACTTACAATAATCTAAGTTAAAGTTACGTAGAAAGACAAAATAAGATTAGAAAAGCCTAATAAACCTGTGAACCTTTTGCTTACTGTAGAGTTAGGAAGCTGAGATAAAGGAATTTCTTGAAAAAAAAAACATACTTTTATACAGCAACTCCCAATACACAGACTTTCCCTTGGAACTATCCCGCCCCTACTAAAAAACTTCTATACTAAGGTGGTACACAC